AGAGAGAGAGAGAGAGATTTAAATGTTGAACTTGAACTTGAACCGAAAACCAATATATGTCTGGAATATGACCTGTATGCATCGATTTTACAAGATGTGACTTGAAAGCCATGCTAAAGTTTGACTACAGTATATCAAAGGGAACTAGGGTGCACCTTAGTTTCATGGTAATGTTTTTCCTTTGCGATATAGAGACTCAGGGTTCGTGTTGTGAGAACAACCTCCTTAGGCAGTACATTGATGTTTCTAGAACCCTGCAATTGATGGGAATTCTGTGCAGTCGGTTTGTCCACGTTGGAAGTGACTTGCTTTTTTCTTTTTTTTATGACCGTTTGCTTGGTTTTTTTGCCATGCCTCCTAACATATTCAAGGACATAAGCTAATAGTCCCTCAATTGCCATGTTAGGTTTTGCAAAAACCTTTTTCCTTCCATACCTTTTTTTATTGTAGTAGCTGTTGTAATCGAATCTTGCTCTTTTTTTTGTTTCTCGGTTTGAAGCTCTAGTTCAGGCCATTTTTTATTAGCTAGGTAGTCCTGCCATGACTTTTTTAGTTGTCGTTTATCTTTGCATCATCTATGTAGGCGCATCATTCTCCTTTGCTTCCTCCACCTACTCCCCATCAGCTTCCTCAACCTCCTCCTCGAAGTGGCCTCCTCCTCCCTGCTGTTGCTGCTGTTGTACTCCTTTGCCTTGTCACTTCCTGGTGTATATGTTCCTCTATACTTGTAGTGGTTCGACTGGTTTCAATTGGAACCGACCAGTAGTATATATGTACTCGTTAATATACTTGTCTGGACACTGCCCGATACTGGTAATGCACTGAAATTTGAATTCTTTGCAGGAAGTACTATAAGTTGATGGTGGTACTTGTAAGCAGTGGTGCAAGATGATCACTCTGGTAGAGATCTAGTGGGTGTGTCTCGATTTGTATTTTTTGTGTGTATGGAACGTAAAGGAGGTGCTTATGATCTTTCACTGATAGTTTGCATGGGAGGTGCAGGATGAATTTACTTGCATTCTATGCTTTTTCTAATCTCGTCTCCGTAGACTCATGCAAGATTTGCAACAGTTCTAGGTTTTTCTGTCTTCTGTCCATATATCAGGGAATCAATTTGACAAAGATATTATAGAGACTATTGTTTAAACATAAAAATGGCAGAAAATGACACAGGGCTTGAATTGGTGAATTATATGGGTAATAGAAGTAGCACTACAGTTGGAGAATTCAGCAAGAATTAGGAAAAGTAGAGGAAAGATCATATGTAGTAGCATAGCTGCTCCAATTTCTTCTGGAACCTTCATTTTTTAAAAAAAGTTTAAGCTTCTTTAGTTTCATGGCTGAATTTGATTGAAATATTATGCATATTGCTTGTGATATTCTAGATTTTCAAAAAAAATTAAACCTTTTTGTTGACAGGATCTTGTTTTGCGTTTGGGAATTGACAGAAAGCTAAACAAGCATGAAGGTTGCGTGAATACTGTGAGCTTAAACGCAGATGGGAACATTCTTGTATCAGGATCAGATGATAGAACAGTAATACTATGGGATTGGGCTGTTGGAACTGTTAGGATTTCATTCAACTCTGGCCACAAAAACAATGTTTTCCAAGCACGCTTCATGCCTTACTCTAGCGACCGGACTATTGTTACATCTGCTGCTGATGGAGAGGTATATGCTTTCATAAGTTGCTTTCTTTTAGTGTTGTTCCCTCTTTAATGTTCTCTTTTTTATTTGCAGATATAATATCTCTTTGGCCTTAATTAATGTCATCAGGTGAGACTTGCCCAGTTACGTGAAGGTGGACAAGTAGCTGTAAAATTGCTAGCTGAACATGATGGTGCGGTCCATAAGGTGGCTATCGAGCCTGGAAGTCCTCATGTTTTTTTTAGCTGCGGTGAAGATGGCCTGGTTCGGCACGTGAGTTTTCAATTGGTCTCTTCTTGCTTGCAACTTTTACCAATATGCCATCTTGCATGTTCCTGACACAGTTTCTTCCTCCTAGTTCGACCTGAGATCCAAAAGTTCAACAAAGCTCTTCATATGCAGATCTTTTACAAGCAGCATAGCTTATATGTCACTTGTTAATCTAAATGCTATTGCGATAGATCCAAGAAATCCCAACTTTTTTGCAGTTGCTGGAGCTGATGACTATGCTCGTGTTTATGACATTCGCAAGTATAAATGGGATGGGTCAACAAATTACGGTTATCCATATGATTGCTTCTGTCCTCCACATCTGATTGATCATACAGAAGGCATAACAGGCTTGGCATACTCAGACACCAGTGAGCTGCTAGCATCTTATATCAACGAGTTCATCTATCTGTTTCCGAAGGATCAAGGTCTGGGCTCAAATCCTGTTGCTGCATTCTTAGAGTTGGATAGTGATTCAGATGATAAGTCTGATGTAGATGCAACATCTCTATCTCCTATTGATACAAATGTGAGGCCTGGACTTAGGGTCTACAAAGGGCACCGCAACAGAAACACAGTAAAGGGTGTCAGCTTCTTTGGGCCTAATTGTGAGTATGTGGTTAGTGGGTCTGATTGTGGACGCATATTTATTTGGAGGAAGAAAGATGGGGAACTCTTGCGTGCGATGGAAGGAGACAAATATGTGGTGAATTGTATTGAATCTCACCCTTATACCACCATGATTGCAAGTAGTGGAATGGAAAATGACATAAAAATCTGGGTTCCTAACACAAAGGAACCTGCCCAAACCATAAATCTGGATGAGGTACGTATCATGAATATCCTAGTACTTTGTGTCTGCTTAAGCTGACTTGTGTTCTCAGTAATCCTTAACCAATCCGAATCTTAGGATCATAAATATATTGGATTTGATGTGATTTGGTCTCAAGAACATTCAAAATCACCTTATTGAAACAACCAAGGTTATTTATTTAGAATACATGACATAGACTTGAATGCTAAAAAGTCATTTTAGGTTTTGGCAATTTTCATCCCCAAGGAGGCATCATTTCCATGCTATTATATTTATTATTAGTTTAGGAACAGAGTAACATATCTGCTCAGAAAAGATTTTTATTACTTTTCTATTCACAAGTGCACTTCCTTTTTCAGTTACACAAAATTACTGTTGCTTTCTCACAAACATCTAATGTCACTTTTTTTTTCATGGGAAGTTTCTGATGACAAATCGGTTGGATTCTGAATTCGACTATGATGATGAATATGACTGTGATAATGACGACGACGATGATGACAATGATGATGATCATGACAGTGATGATGATGATGATGATGTCAGCTTTGGTGATGGCGATGATGACATTGATATCGACGATAATGACATGGACTACTATACCCATTTCAACAATTGGCCATGAAAACAACAGGAGTTGGGACGAAGTCAATTACCTAGTGGATGCAAAAATCTTGTTCCCCAAATTAACTGCTGGAACAAAGCCAACTCTTTTCAAGATCATGAGCCTCGATTTGAATTAGACAAGTTAAAATGCTTAATAGGAAGTTTTAGAAGATTGTTTTAGCAATACCCAAAATCATGTAAGTCAACTTGCATATCTTGCTTCAATATCTGCTCTTTCTTTTGTAAAGAGATAGCTATACACATACACTACAAGGGGGTTTCCACTGTTCAGTTAGCAATGATATTTATGCTATGTAATTAATGTTATCTCCAATGTGTTGTCTTCCTTGTTAATTTGGTCTGTTGTCTCACTTGCCAGGATTATCAATCAGTTCACTCTTTGTCGTTTCTTTCAATTTTGTCTTTCATGCTTCCATTTCTCTTCTCAGTACAGCAAACAAGTTGATGTGATTTCTATCTTCAAGTCCAACAGGGTGATCTCTCTTTCATTCGGTGATTGGTGCTTGTTGAGATCTTTGCCTCTGCTAAAGAGCAGGTATCTTACTGTGGTCTTAAACTGCATCTTTTGATCTTTAGTTCCTGTGAAAATTGCAACCTCTTGAGACTTTGTTGCTGCAGACAAAACGTCTTGGCACCTTCTACCTTGCCCTAAATGACATTAATGGGTCACTGTAGAGAACTAAGAGAAAACACTCAAAGATTAAGAGAGAATTTATCTTTTATTAATGATCGATTAAGGCACCTATTTCTGCAGGATGATGATGCTCTTTTGACCCAAGACTGTTGCCTTCACGTACTACAAATGGCATCCTCGTCAAGCATCAAGTGATGATGGTTGATGACCCCTCCTTACAAGGAGCCCAAGATGCTTTCTCTCCCAAATACTATTTAGTTTCATCTCGAAAAGATGATGCCCACCGGAAGGCTCGAAGAGACCTCGATTGATGGTATCCAAAAGAGGATGTATTAGAACTCATGCTTCTGTAGGAACTTGGCAAGAGGTGATTTCGTGAGTTGGCAGGCAATTATAGGATTGATTCACATAAATATATTGTAAGCTTAAATGATTGAACAGATAAAAGATAAATTTAATGAAACATAATAGTATAACAACATAAAATCTCAACTATTTCTATATATAACTTTTGCTGCCATTAAAAATGAAACATAACACTAGTAGTGCAAATCAATTCTTAGTCTAGCACTAGAATGAAGGTGCACTCAAGAGATTCCTCCTACCATAAGGTTTCCAAGGTTTCCAAGCTATATGAAGAATGATAGCATAGTTAGTTTATATGTAAACACAGGAACACTTGAAATACATGGTTCTTTACTTGTTCATATCACCTCCCCATGTTTTTCTTATATATAGATGAAAAACAATTCAGCTGCAGTTCATACAACACATGCACCTACTGTTTCTCATGACATATAACCAATCCATGTGTGCAGTAAGAAATCACCTCACCGGACACCTCAGATCCGTCCTGATGGAAGAAGGATAAGTTACTCGAGATTCTGCTCTGCTAGCAGTTATCGGTTAGTGACAACAACAAGGAGTTCGATCACCAGGAAAGGCCCTGTTCTGGCATATTCTGAAGACCAAGTGGATCAAAGAAAGTGGCATGAGGTCCATGATAAGGAAAACTATTCAGAGTGATGCCATTGCGCTGGAGGTCCACTGCTGATGCCTGAAATAAGCATACTGCTAGGGTAATGATCCTGTGTGTAAGAAATAGTACAATGTCGTAGGTTAAGACAGACATATTATCTGCTGAAGTTAATCTCTGCTTATGTAATCGAGAGCTCGATCATGGAGGTTGGTCTGGTTTAATTTAGTACATATGATTAATGAACCGAGATGAATCCATCGGGGAGGCTCAGACCTCAGTTGGAGTTGTACAAGGAGCAAGAGATTTGTGTGGCACATTAATACCACCCCCTCTCACTGACAGAGAGGGGCCCCTGAGTGAGTTGGCTCTGCTAACAAGATTGGAGTCAAGGAACACGACGATAACAGTTATGTCATCGTGGAAATGCCGACGTACTCCACGATCAATCTTCTTGAGATCAGAGTACCTCATTTCCCGTTTCTTGGCTGCTTCTTGAAGGGCAGCTTTTACAAGCCTTCGAGCACTTCCCTGCAGGTTTAATTGATTTGAATTAATCAGACCCAACTATCTACAAATACAAACAATGTGCTATACTGAAAGGCATGTTAATAGAACTTTTGTCCAATGGACGATTCAATAATTAAAAGTACCACAATCAATTATCTAAATCAATAGAAATAAACTGCTAACCAGTACTCATGGTAAACAATACATTGTAGACATTGTTACCAAACGTCAAACCCCACTTTCAGATGTGTCAATGTGTTGGGTATCCATCTGACAATCTTTAAACATTTTGATCAGATATACATGCATAAAGGCATCCTGGTTGTGGTGTCTACGAGAAGCTTTGAGTCAAATTTGTAAAAGAATTTTGCAATTTCAGTCATTTCTAAACTATTAGCTATAAGCATTTCATAGAATCACATGCATCCTGCATCTGAAATAGGCATGGTTCTCAGTTCCATGTGTTACATATGTGATGTCAAGTGTAGAGTAGCCACTACTAACTGATGTTTCTCTATTTGGAGATAGAGAAAGGCCTATATGAGAAGATTAGTTGAAGTTATTAAAATATTTTATTGCTAAAAACTATACTGTAAAATAGCCACGAAATATATACAAGAGTTTCGGTAGACTTATTTATACTTTATAGGGCTACTAAAGGCCAACCCTAGTTACAATATGCTAAACATGACTGATGATGGAACACACTTTTAAATTAACCAAATTCATTTATAAAACCCAAGCCATTTCCGCATTTTTGTAGTAATATGGGTCCACGTGACTACTACCCTCTCGATGTATCATAATCCCTAACTTTGTGTCATGTGCGAATGTGGCCTGACATGGTGACGACAAAGAATGGAGATCTCAAACAACACCTGACTCACATAATCAAGCAAGTAATGATAGTCATCTCCATTATTGTAAAAGCCCCCATGCCTTCAATTTTGAGATTGACTTGCCTTGGTGATTGAACTTCATCATGTTTTGGAACTCCCATGTACATCTCTAAACTGATCAACCATCCACGACATGATGATGACAACACCTATAAGTGGAATGCAATAGACATCTGCATCATTTTATTGCCTCGAACCTCTAAAGGATATTGGTTGCTTCGCTTCTGATCTTCAAGACAATGAAGAATATAATTGGCTCCATATCAAACTTCAATTTCTAAATGAGCTTAAATGTGATGAAGTTATTGGTCTAATCAGTGTCGATTAGTATTGCAGAGAGCAATCATACAGAGAAGCTGAAAATTTCAGGGCCAGCAGAACTCAGATTCGTCACATCGTTTGTAGGAAACTTCATTATATTTTCTTTAGTGGCAAAGCCAATTCCAAGCAAAGCCCTTCTTCTCAGCCAAGATCAGCATACTAACTGGCTTTCACCTAAAGCAGAGGATACCCCCTTTGTTAATGGGCTAGTGTTGTTTGCAAAAGAAATAGTTAATATAGATACATCAGGTTAGTGTGAGATCCGCTAACCTTTGTTCTTCGGGTATGCAAGGCCTCCTAGTGGGAAAGATGTTATTCTACAACTTTGGCCACAGCAAAAGTGGCAAGCAGTAGACAGATTGACTGTCGATACCTCAGTATGCCTACAATCTTTTAGGCTATCGATAATCTATGAGATACCTGGAATCATGGTACCAAATACCAATTCTCACAAATTCATCCCGATATTTTGTTACAATTCCCATCTCAATCAATTATGAAGCTTGATACTATAATTCACTCCAAATTTAACCATCAAGGTCTCCAAAAATCATCTCCATGTATGTACTTTGCCTATCCTGAGTATTATTTGTACCACTATATAGTAACATACTCCCAAGTGAAAGAAAGCCATACCAAATTTGGAGTCCCCAAGAGTAGCTATGCATTGAAAACACTTGTACAAAGAAGAGCCAATTCAGACGATGACTTTTGCTTTACTTTGGAAAACTCAACTGCTTAATAGATTGCCCAAGCCCCTAAAAGAGAGGTGCTCTGGTGACGGAAGTGGCACAGGGTTTTAATGTTGTTGCTAAGGCTATAGCAGTCTGTTTATTCCTCCCACATACAGGTTGTGAAATCATCTTATTTCAATAGTATAAGCCCGATTCCTATCAAGTTTAATAAAGACCAATGTACTTTTGATCAATTTCTAGCTGTATAACCAAAAATTTGGTCAAAATCAACTAAAACTGACCGAACTCAATAGCAATTGACCAAGTTTATGCCATTTAATGACTTCAAAAGAAGAAAGAATAGAGAGGTGAGTGAAAGAAAAGGAGGAAAAGGCAGCAAAAAAGGCAAAAAAGGAAAGAAAAAAGGCTACCACTATGGAACAGAGATGCTACTATTTTGTTTGCTATTTATTGCAATTGTCATGTTTGTCATATGCTCCCATTCTATAAAATGAGTACTCAATACCAGTTGGAAATGAGGAAAGATATGGATTCCAAGATCAGATCAACAAAGTATGAGACAATTTTGTGAAATCAAAACCATAATTATCGATACCACATGCGAAGAATTGAATATAGAACTCACACTGTGAGAATTCTTTTGAACAATATTAACAGCTTCTTGATTATTAAGATGCTCCCAAAGGCCATCAGATGCAAATATAAGGAACTGATCTTGAGGTTGTAGTGGTTGTACAGTAATTGATGGCACTGAGCTCAGTATAGGCTTCTTGAAAGGTTCACGAAGTCTAAATTTCACATGCAATGGTTCACGATTAAATTCTGCCTTCTTTAGGTACACATCACCAATTGACCTGGAGATCTGCAATAGTCATGTATTCTTGATCAGAATGAAGAAACAAAAGAAATTGAAAAACAGCTAAATAAAAAATCATAAATGAAGGTTGAACACACAGGATCAGTTATATTACAAACATATTAGGACTCTTAGCCACCAAGAAGACTCAAACTTGGATACCAAAGGCTCTCCACAATAGCTGATTAAATGAACCATACACATGTTTGAAAATTACTAAGTAAACTCTAGACCTACTATCACACAGAGTGGATGAGAATACTTGATGAAGTCCTTTCCTTCTGTAAGTTGACTAGTATTGAGCTGTAAACCCCACTCCCAAGCTCGACAGGCCTCAAAGAGAGCTGGACTAGAGTGCTTTGAGCAGAATCTGCTGGACTGACATGCTGTAGGCTGCACCAAGCTATCAAAGGCCAAACCAAGCTATGTCAGCCCTGTGTTGTGCCCTTGTCATTGTTGGGAAGGCTGACCTAGGACCAAATAGACCCTGGCTGAGCCCCAGAAAGATGCAAGTGGTCTGAGATTAGACCAAAATGCAAATGTTTTCACTCACTTGGATCCACTATATCCAGGTGTCCAGGATCAAACTGTATTTTGACATCTTTAAGCTTGCATCCTTCTTTTTCTTCATGCATGCTAAAGCAAAATAAAATGCTGCAAATTAGGGCCTACAAGTTGGTGAAAAAAATCGTCATGATGTGTTCTATCGCAGTAGGGACCAGAAAACATTTAGATCTTGGAATCACTTCACTCGATGAAATTTGAACCCAACAAAATCTTTTTCAACTTGTCATTCACTGTCACAACTTGTGGAAGACTTTTGGAATATCTGGGTAAGTCAGAAATTTGCTGCATATGTCTTCACCAACTGCCCTTGATTATCATCAACAGTTGAAGCCATAGTATTGATCCAGCAAAAGAAATGATCTCTGGCCATGATGTAGCTTTGGGGCTATAAGATATTCAAGTGATACACCCTTTGGTGTGCTTTCCAGCTGTCAAAGAGCTTCTGAAGAAAGTTGAACAGGTCGATCAGCTACAATCTGAAGTTCCAACATCAATCTCTTGAAAGCTGAAATTTTAAGCAGCTGCTGATATTTTTCTGGGTTGATCTAGGGGCCTGCTGAGGCTTCTAGGATAGACTTCAAAATCAGATTATATCATGGGCTCATCCAGAGGTGCAACCAAGGTAACTGAAAGGAAGCATTAAATTGCTACAGATCAACCTAGATACTTTTACTTGATAGTTTAGGGATTTCTTAAGATATTTTCAGCATTTAGTACAAATGGAAACCGACTCTGCTTAGGATTGAAGGCATAGAAACCTACAGAGGCTATGCCTGGATGATTTTTATATTTTAATTGGAAAAAAATTATTCTAGTTGATAGGTCAGGGAGAATTCTTCTAAAATAACAAAGTGCTTGTTAAATGCAACACTAACATAAAAATTGAACATTATTACTTACAATACTCAAGAACTTGAGAAGACTTATGCCAGCTATCTAAGTATAAATTAGTCAGTTATTCTTTCATTCTACCACATAATTTCCCTATATCCTACTGAAAGATAAAACCCTAGAATAATTAGGCTTTTTGACATCATTTGTCACATCTAAGCAGGTTAAAGTTATTCATCACACTATTCTATCTCAAGCTTAAACCAACAGAAAAAGACTCCGTAAAGTGGCAATGCATAACCAGAACTAGATAGAGGCAAACTTGACTAGGATAATTTAGTTCCACTAGGAATAATGCCCTTCATAGTAGTAGAAAATCAGTATTGAAAACTGCTAAAATAAGTGCAACCGGGTATTTTTTTATGATGTCCTAGATTACATGTAAGTAAATCCATGCTAATCAAACATCTTGAATAAAGGTCCCAAAAGAAAGTGATTCCGTAACATTTTCTACAGTATTTTCATGGCTGTCTTTGGTCAAAGGATGCTTTAAGTTGCATCAGCGAACAACTTCTGTGAATGATAGGGTGATTCAAATTTTCAATCAGCATATTATTTAAAGAAGGATATAAAATCCACAAATTCTTCAAAGCTATGTGAAAGTGTTTGTACATGGAAGTAAAACAAAAAGGCCAAAAACTTTTCTTCTTTAAGCTTTATTTTAAAGATGGTGTGTGAACACATGGAGATTTTTCCAGTTGGCTCCCCCGACTCTTAAAGATAATGCTTACTACCTGCATAAGATTTTCTCTGACATAACTATTGATGGAACCTTTATAATCATTAAAATGAGAAAAAAAATGATAAAACGGAAAAGATTTTTGAGTAACTTGATAAGTTATCCTTCATACTCAACTCTTCGGTCAGAAGAAAAGCACTCTCTCCCACAATAAAAGAAAATGCAAATGATGTCCGGAAATATAGATAAGATCATAAGATTATGGTTCAAACTCAATGCCACATAAAATGCTACAGCTCCAATAATCTAAAAGCTCAATCAAACACCAGTAGGTGGTTGCAGAGGGACTGAGATAATCAGTTTGGAATAAGAGTAGAAGAAAACTTTTAGCAACAAAGACTGCAAAACGTATGCAATATCATATTATATCAGATGTCAAAAGAATAATATGGAGTTCTAGAAAAAACATGGCAAAAAAGATTGTAAAACATGATGGCAAAAAAATACTAATCCTGTATGTAAAATTCATCACCAAGACATTTGCCTCTAAGTCCATGATGGAATTAAAGTCTGATGATAATACTATATAAATATTATCTTAAAACAAGGAAAAACCCCATCCACAAGGTTTCTGCCCAAAGCAAGATTTGGGGAGGGTCAGCCAGCCATAACAATGATATGAATTCAAATTTTCAATCGTTATGCATCTCTCCATTGGTTCTGAATAAAATTTAATATCACAATTCACAAGAAGGATACATAAGAAATACCAGAATTACTTATTACTAATGAGCATTCTTAGTGGCTTACTCTCTTTGTACATTTTTTAAGCTCTGAAATGATCAAAGCAATAGTGAGCTTTGAAATTCTTATTAAGAAAGTCAATGTTATTGTGCATAGTGTTTAAATTTAAAATTTCAGTTGTTTAATTAATATATTTTGACCTTACATACAATTTTTTCCATGTTTTCATAATAGCTTATTTTTCATGGAGTTCAATTTGAAGATATGAATTGCATTTATGACTCTACCACCTAACAAGTAACAACACATGTTTCCACTTAATTCCTTTCTTATGGAAACATATCTTAGGCAGAGAAACATGAAAATTGTCTTACTTAACATGTTTATGTACTTGATCTCTAAGCAAAACTAACTAAATTGCCACATGGAGTGGCCATTGAGAAAATTCCAAGTGTGTTTTTTACCAAAGTAATGCTTGGTAGGTTGCACGCACGTAGCGCAACTAAAGTGTCCAATAAGTCCCCTTATACTGATTATACATATTCTTTTGAAAATTTGGGTGAAGCATATATAGATAGTAAGTAATGTTTAAGAAAATAATCTATCTTATGTATGAAAATTAAACCCACAGATGGCACATGCATATATACACACAAATATGATATGCACCTGGATTAGGCCCTTCACACGCCAAACGTTATGCTTCATAACAACAATTTGTTTATCATCGGGATGCATTGACTGCAACTCTCGTCGCACAGACTCAATTCCTACGTTGTGCTCAACTGACAATTGCACAGCCAAAACTTCTCCAGTTGCTTTGACAACTCTCCCTAAAACAACACGGGAGTCCCCAAGATTAGCTATATGTAGCATACCACCACAGATTACACCAACCAGACAACACGTGCCGACAGCTGCAATCTGAGGTTTTACAGGCCATTGTTTGGTCACCAGGGAGGTAAATCCCTCCTCAGTTGCTTGGTATGCCTTTCGTATTACATCAGCCGACATCAACTGCTGCTCTGTTGCAAATCCTGCCAACACAACCACTTCAATCAAATAGGTCCTGATAACTACAAAGTACAAACTATATTAAAGATATTAAATGATGCCACTGAAATGCATGCATACATCTGCATTACAATAACTTGAGAACTAGCAGCAAATCAGAATAAGATTCTAATAGATGGTAGGAGAAGAGAATTGAGATATGATGCATTAGATATTCATGACTTAAAACATAATGCAAGAAGAAGAAAAAATGGATTAGCGACTTCCAAGAAGCAGCATAACCCAACTGAAAAAGAAACAATTTCGTTATTCATATAATTAGTTCTTGGCATCATTATAACAATCCTAGACAGCAGATAAAGCTAGTTGCAACTGAGTTACTTGACAGACAATACAACATTGGTTACCCTCTATGTAAATCCAGATAAGAGCTTGCTTGGGAATTGAGGAAACTAACTACCCATTTAATCGCCATAAAATTGTATACAAGGTTTTCAACAAAAATTCATATAAGAAATCCATATGATGGCGATATAACTATCTTCTAAATGAGCAACATATTTTCCTGTCCAAGCAAGACTGAAGTACCAATTAATTGAGCAATAATTAATGTTTAAAAATGATATTGAGTAATGCAAGTTAAGAACTTACTCTTTAGGTGCTGGAAGATATGATCATTGACATAACGGGAAGTCTCTGGACCACCATGCCCATCATAAACCCCAACAAAAGTCCCGTATGGTCCAAATTCAAGTGAGCTCAAAGGTCCTGACTCGATCTGGCTCTGGTCTTCAAGCAAGTTGTTAGCTTGTACCACAGCCATGGAGAACTCACCGTAAACATGCTGCCCGCTGTCCTTGTACCAGAGAAGCCCATCCTGCCAACCAACCACATCAGAGCCTGTGTGGGCATATTTGTGTGATGATGGCCGCCAGCAGGCCTTCAATAGGTTCATCAATTTCGCAAACATCCCTCATCTCATCTAAGCCCACGTTTGAGTTCTCAACATCTGTCCTATCTTAATTTGCCTTCTTAAATTGAAAGCCCTGACCTTCTTTTAGTCTGAATCAAAAGGAAGCATATCAATTGCATTAGTTGCAAGATAAAGACATCAGATAAAGGCAGTTTAATTAAAACTACTGGATCTGGAAGGCCAGCAAAAACTCAACCCTCGGTCTAATCCCATGTAGTCTTAGTCAAACCACATAACGGATCAACAACCTAAAACCAAGGACTACAAGTTTGATACTTCATCGGTTACCTTTGCAAATCCAACGTCCGATGGCGAGACCAACGAACATCAAGTCGCGGAAGCAAGCAATACGATCTGTTCGCCGGTCCTCAACAGAACATCTTCCTTCCCATCAATCTCAACCAGGGACTCCACCCAAAAGAAATCGCCGCTCAGGAATCACCCCCCAAATCCGAGGCGTTAGAGAGGAATTGGCCGCAAAACCCACCTTCCGGACGGGAATCGCCTCCAGAACGCCTCAGATACGCGGGATGCGTTCCTTGGACCAGTGATCCAAGAAAAGTAGGATTGCCCTTCAAGGAGGACAGCTCTTAGCAGCCAAGTCCCAGTGGTCGAAGGCGTTTTCACACGAACCTCGCTAGCAATATTTGGAATAGCGTCCTGATCCGTGTTAACAACATTATGTCATGCATGATCGCATGTTCCCAGCATCTAATTTATTTAAATTTAAAAATATTTTTGGATTAAAAATACGATGTTAATGTTATTATCATATTGCATCGATCACCGCTGCTACTATATTTAAACTCAATTTTATGGTAATACGCTCATCAAATTTTTATAGATTAATTCATGTTTTTTACTCACTTTTAATGTGAGACTAAACATCACGTTGATTTGTCATGATACGATTCCATAGAATAATTGAGTTATTAATTTGATTAGCCCATAACTATGTAACATTAGGAAGGTGGTCAATTTGGAAAAAGAATATCAAGTACGGGTGATAGGTACTTATCGTATGTGAATCATTTACTATTGCCCGATATCATATCTTCGACCTAGTATTGGGTGACACGAGATTATATTGAGTGATAACGATCAAAATTTCAATCATTATCAACTTGTACCGAGTGGTATCGATCAAAATCAACCGTTATCAATTAATAACGATTTTTAAATAGTCAATTTTAATCGTTGGAGGCATCCTAAAAGATTTTTAAACCCTTTCCACTCTCCTCATTTGATTTATTACGCTTCGACATTCTCTTAAATTCTTTCAAACTCATTTTTACTCATAATCTCTCTCTTATTATCATATTTTTACTCTCTTAAATTTTATAAAGCAACGATTTATAGATTCACGATATTCAACCTACGATCATCACATTGATATACTAATGACATACGGTGTATCAATGTATTATGTAGTATGATCAATTTTATGATTAGGTCTGACAAGCATATCAAATTGATATATAGATGCATAAGATCGATGATCTCAATCTATCACTTGTGGAGGTCCATTATTATTTTTAGTAGTAGAATCAGGTATATTTGATTACTTAATTCATTTGAATCTTAAAGTTTAAGTTGTATACAAAATAATCTAATAATTCAAATAATTCTTCTGTAGATAATCTAATATTAATGGAAGGACGATATGAAACAAATTGAAATTATGAACATTGTATAAGACTACTCAAAGCTCGAAAAAATATGTGATTTTATTTTTATATTAGTTTTATAAAAACTATACTAAATATATATTTATTTATAACTTAAAAATCTTATCATAATCTTTTTTATTTTTAGATAAATTTAAATTATTTTATATATATATTAGATGTATCGCTCGGTATGTTGGTATCATGCCATACCGAGTCGATATGACACGAGACTAAAAACTTTGATGTCAACAACTTAATTGATTTACAAGTCAAGAAAATATTGGTTCTTTAAATTTTAAGAGAACATTTTTCTTACATCATATATGAAATGGACATACTATTAGACCAATTAATGTAGTTTCAATAGTAGTTTTTTTTTTATGATAGTGTATAGAAAGTGTTTATTATCCGAAAATACTATCATGTCACATATTAGTCTTCATTTAATCATGTGATTCATACCAACAGAGAAATCAAGTGATCAAGATAACACCATGTTATTCGATCCCCCGCTTCGAGCAGGAAGTGCACGAGCCATGTGATCGATCTGAGAAGACAAAGAGACCACAAGAAACATAATTCATTGTCCGGATAAACAAATTGAAGCCACGAGAGAGACAGCATGGAACTCCGCAAGTTGTGGATGAGGCTACAGCCCTCACACCCGCAAGCATTTGCCTTCTTCCTCGTATTAAGAGAATCTCAAAAGAATGTTCGTCTCAGGCTTCCGAGACGAGCATGGAGATGGATGTCAACTTTGGTCCGTTGTTGTTGCCTGCGCTTATCATCAGCTACATCTTCGCTGCAACCGAAGGATTTGCGCCATCAGGGTGGACGAAGGGCTTCGCACTTCTTATGGTGGCAGCGACGCCACCGGAACTACCGGCGAGAGAGTGCATCTCGTCAGGTGTTCGACGTATTGCATCGCCTATTCACCATCAGCGGCGGAGACTACTTGGAGCCGAGGCTCATTCTTTATGAATGCGCTGATACCACAACTAATAATGACAGGTCCAATAATGATTCAACTACGAAGGAAAGATTATATGGATCTTTTCTTGGTGTCGAACTTTATGTAAGGCAATAAAAGACATCAACTAAATGTTCTGCGCCTTTGAGATTTCAAGCAAAGATTGAATGCAGATTGGCTGCAAGTTAGACACCAAATATCTCATTTCTTACGTATAAAATGCAGACAGTAAATGACCTAAGAACTCGTACGTGCCTTTAGGCTTTGGCTAGCATCTAGCTTTTCTTCCCAATGCTATATTGTAGCTCTAGGATCTTGAGTGGAGTACCACTGCGTTTTATGGATTACTGTGCAGTAAAGTACCAATAATGCATTCAAGTATACACACAGTGACATATGATCCAAACACTAAGTCTCTTCTCTCTCTTCTCCCTAGATTATCGCGTTCTTTTCACTGCCCCCATTAGAGGTGGGTTTGCGCCAATCTTTCCCTGCGAAGGTGCTTCCCTTTTCTTCCACAATGAAACCCAGCGTAAGCAGCAGCTTTCTCAGAGTAAATACAGCACACCTTTTGCAGCTTGTCATCAGGCAAATCTAATAGCCCAACAGCGACAGCAGCTCATCATCCATCATTTCTTGGCCTCTATATCATGTGGCACTTGGCAACGGATGAGAGACATGAGGCCGCTCAGCAATGAGGGCTACTCTGGGGCAGGGGATGAGCTCGGTCTCCGCAAGCAGTGGGAGGTCGACTAGGTGCGAGGAGCTGCTCTTCTTAATGAAGGAGAAGAGTGCACACTTCACAGAGGACTTGGCTTAAGGAGAAAAGCTTCTTGTAGGATGCTGTTCTTTCTCTCTTTTGGACACTCAAAGGGCTCCCTTCCTATGCTTCCAAACTCCCTCTCCCTCTCTCTCTCTCTCTCTCTCTCTCTCTCTGGTGTCTATTTTGTGTTGGTGCTTTATTTGAAGCCACTGTTTCTGTACTAGTGAACTGTCCTGAAGCATATGTAGTAGATTATGGCTTCATAAACCATCATTTTGTTGTTGTTTTGATGTTTTAGCTTCAGCATTTGCAGTAACTTCAGATATGTCTTCATGCATGCATAGGACATGCAGATTGATAATGCATAGGAGTGCATGTATGTACCAATGAAGTACCACTCATAAATGTAGGGTTTGGTCCTACAGAACTATTTACCACAAATTTAATCCAAATAATAATTAAGTTAGGGGTTTGACTAAAACTCCCAAGTACTACTACATTAGATTATATATGTATTGAACAAGTATAATGCATTGAACTTATTAGTCCCATCAACCAAGTGACTTTGTTCTTGATGTATTCTTAAACAAACAAAGGTTTAGATACTTACCTTATTTTATAACATGTTATAATAATCCATTTAGGCAGTGTATCAAATGTTTTGATTTGATCAGAAGCATAGGAGCACTAAGATAAGATGTAAATTTTATAGCAGTGTATCTAAAATATTTAGATCAATGTCAATAAGTTATTGAGTATATCTATATCTTACTTTTATGTTAAGAAAAGAATAAATTAGAACATGAAGAAGAAAATACAAAGGATGAGTTGGATAATGTGTGCTTTGAAAAATATCTGATTTTTTAAATTTTATAAAAAAGTAAAATAACCTAAAAATTATGGGTATGTACATCAAGAGCATTATAGTCAATTCAAAAAATATTTTTAAAAATATAAAAAGGAACAAAATCCAAGAAGATAATTATTCTTCCATAAAAAAAATGTTGATATATTATTTAAATTTTTAATTGATCAGAAACCATTACATTTTGACTTTTCTTGGTTTTTATAATGTTGACTAAAAAGTTCTGATATGTAATGAAACTTATGAACTTGCTTGGGAAAAAAGGTGAGCATGACTTTTCTTAGATTTATTTCAGTTAGAAAATTGTATAGATAAACAAATAAAAAATGACAAAAAATTAGAATTACAATTAGGAAATGATAATGAATTTTAATTCACAATAAAGCTCTTACCGGATTCGGGTTGGATATGAATTTACCTGATACATGTCATCTGGGTTGGGTTCGGACTTTGGGTGTGGATCTTGTATGGATCCGACCCAAATCCTACCTGACGACATAACCCTGGAGATGACTTCACCCAAGTCCATTACGCAAGTCCGATCGACCTCCTTCGATGAGTGGCGGAAGCGGGCGCAGCGACGATGACCCGACGGAGGAGGAGGACGACAATGAGGACGACGATGCCGCTTCCGCCTCATGTTCCTTGGTCCCATCACCAACAGCAAGCGCGAGCGCGGGGGCGAGCTCCCCCCGCACCATGACCACTATCTCTCGCCATTACTTCGGAGGTGATTCCTCCGCCGACGACCATGTTTTCTTCATCGATATTATCGAGGTAAGCAATTGACCAATCAACTATTGCCTCTTAAATAACGAGCATACAATTATTGCCGAAAAAGATTAGCTTCTACTTCTCCCGTTATTGTGGGTTAACCCCGCAGAATATGCGAGAAGACTACGGGATGTTCGTCTGGCCGTGCAGCAAAGTTCTTGCCGAGTACATATGGCAGCATAGATCGCGGTTCTCTGGCGTCTCAGTAGTTGAGGTCCTCTTACCATTATAGTTTTTTTATTCTTTTGGTTTTTGAGAATTATTTGCTCAAATTAATTTCTGTTCCAACTAGTATACTCTTCCTGCATCCTGTTTTCCTCGTTTGCTGCTGAGGTACCTAAGTAGAAGTTGTCATTTTGGTGCACCTCTTGTTGGGCTTAGTGAAATGCTTCATGGCATTATTAGGTTTTGAACAACTGTTATATTCTAAAAAGATTTTATTTGGAAGGTCAACTTGTCAGATTTTAGATACACTTCTTGCTAGTATTTTAGTTCCTTGACTCACTTGGATTAAAAGGATGATGCCATTTTGAGCTAAAAGTTGAGATCAGGAGAATATGGAGTGTAACCAATACTTTTGTCTTGAAGAACTAACAAAATTTTTAATATGTTGGTAACTAGAAGTTTAAATATCTCGGAATTAGATTATTTCCTCTTTTATTCTTGAATTACAAGTTAGTTATGTTTTTCCTAAAATTTATGATGACCAGAAAGAATAATTTATTTTCGGTTATTAATGTTAGAAACTGTACATTGTATCCAATTTGCATAGCCACTTTAGTGCTACTGCTTGCTCCAATTAGTATCTTTTGGTGCAAACTTGTTATTTCTTTGTTCTTTGCCCGAGGACTGCAAAATATTATATGTTTTCATCAATATATGTATCTTATACTTTTTTTATAACCCCCAACAACTGAGTTCTGCACATTAAGTCTGTCGTTTGGTTAGTAGAATATAAATAAACCTTAAGAGAATGTTGTTGGTCATCGATATCATGTTTCATTTATGAAGAAAACTCATCTGTGTTCACAGTTCATCAATGGAGAATACAAACAATGGCTGTTGAACTGATAAGCATTTGACTATTTTGGCAGGAATATACAATAAGATCTGCAACCTACATACTTTGTAGGTAATAAATTATTGATAAATAATCACACAACCTATCTTCTCTTTCCATGTAATAAGTAGCTAATTTTTTGTTCTGGTATTTGAGTTAGTCTTTTGATGTTTGACCTATATCCAGAACTTATTTTTTATCAGAGATAGCCAGAAAAGTTTGTGATAGTATTTTACGCCATAACTGATTGTTTCATGTCATTTTGTTTGTTGACCTTTTGATATTTTTCTTCAATACTTTGCAGTTAGGTGCCGGAACATCATTGCCTGGGTTGGTAGCAGCCAAAGTAGGGGCAAATGTCATCTTAACAGATAACTCATACCAAGCAGAGGTTTAGATTTTACTTTATTGATATTTCCATGGGCAAAACATATAAGTAGCAGCCCAGCTCCTTTCTCTCTGCTACATTTTATCATTTTATCATTTTATCAAGAAAATGTTTTGGAAATGCCACATTACTAATTGCAATAATTTGGTGGTAAGATTACTTCACATGGAAATAATAGTTACATGGTTTTGAGTAAAAAAATTAAAGAAAAAAAAAATAGACACTCACTTTTTTAGAGGTTTCAATTTATCCATTAATTTAGTATTATACCTAGAGATAATCTCCTCTTTTGTAACAAACATTCAGTTCCGTTTTGTAGTCTAATATAAGCAATAGTATTTAACTATATTCTTCTTGCTTGACTGGGGCCTATTTAGGTTTAGTTGCTGCAGATGACGTACATGTCTAGTGTGTGTAAACACTAATCAGTTAACTAGAATATTTCTCAAAGGGTTCTCAGGTATGCTAAATTTATGTCATTTGTGAAATACTATAAAAGCCACATGTTAACCTTTTAAGAATTGTTTTCCATAGCAATCCTCTTATGAAATCTTCAAGATAATTTAGCTTCCAAACTCACAAATGGGTATATATTCGGGATTGATATCTGATGTGCTCATGGTGACCATGGATTTCAAAAACAAGATGGATCGAATCAAATCTGACAATAAAACAGCCTGCAGTTATGAAAGGAAACAAAATGCTGCAAACTGAACCTAGAAAGATTGAGCTGCTGTACTTCCATTTCATGGCAATAAGGAACCAAGGCTATACTTAGATCATCACTGAGATTTTATAGAAATGAGATTTAAGAATAAGAAGGTGGCTTTCTTATTCATGCACTTTTCACTTGCTGAAACTCAAGGTTGTGATGATGATAAAAAGAATTTATATATTATTCCATGGTCAAGCCTTCTGTGAGAGAGTAAATGGTATTTGGTCATTATGATCGACATTTGGAGAACTTTATAAAGTAAGAGCTTGTTAAGTAGCAGGGGAGGCTTGCAGGCAGAGAATTCATTAACTGGGTGCCTTTGATCAAGAAAATTTCAGATGGGCATACCTTTATAGAGCAGAAGCTAACCATTGAAAAAAGATGAGCTTTATTTATGGGAGTCATTAAGGAACACTTGAACTAGAAAGGAGTAACTGGAAACCGTAAACTGAGAGCTTATGAATATGGAACTAGTTCTATGCTTCAGTTATTCTTATTAATAATTCCAAGCTAATTGATCTCTGTGTGAACATACAGAAAACTATGTTATTGGTGGTTTATGACCTGATAGTGTTAGAGGAATAACAAGTTGTTAAATATATTGATGGTCAACCAGTTGATCCAAGATGTTCCAAGCTATAAGCTTGATGGGCTATGTTTGAGGCTTTCAAGTGTACCCTGCTACGGTAAAGAATTAGGATCAGGGACACCTAAGATCGAGTCTCTGATGATATTAAACATTATAATTGACAAACCTCAGTTCTTACAAGCATGCTTCAAGTAAAGCATCTTATATTGTGCCTTCCATGATACGGCGAAAATGAAGTTCTCTCCAATTTGAGAAAAGGATGATGCATTATTGATTGTATTTGATGTCAGGGAGAATATAGGAGTGGCAAAATTTTTCAAATGACTTTTAGCATTGCACTTGAGACCAAATCCAAGAAGCTTATATAGTGGTACTCTTCCTGTATCCACAAGTCCTTTTGTCCCATATTGCTTTAGTGCCAAACTACATTCTGTTTATCTTCAAAATCCTGCTTTTAGTAAATTTTGCTACATGACAAAATAAAATTTCTTTTCTCCGGTTCACTAAACAGGGAGCACAACTAAATTTTGCTACACTTTCTTCATTCTTGTTGCTTGGATTTTCTTAGATTTATTAGGAACATCCGATACTAAGATTATGAAATACATTTTTGGATTTTAGTGTCTAGCAAGAAGACGAGGATAATAATTCAGCTACAGCATTTATATTCACTCATATTTTCCTGTTTATATAACTTAATTATCCTTGTCAATGCATCAACTCTATTTGGTTATTTCTTTTGTATACAGTTTTTCTGATTGTGATGATGGGGGCTTGCAGGTCCTGGACAATATGAAAAGGATATGTGATTTCAACAAACTCAACTGTGAAGTAAATTTTAATCTCATAATCATCTTTTATGTGGTACTGGTTCTTTAATTTGCTATCGAAATGCTTTTTTGTTATGTCTGAAGATATTGGGCCTCACATGGGGGGAGTGGGATGAGCCTATGTTTAATTTGCATCCTCAGATAGTGCTTGGAGCTGATGTACTTTATGATTCAACTGGTAGGAATATGATTGAGTGCACTAAAAGCAGTTGGCTTCTTTAAATTTTGCTTAGTATATTTGAAATGTATATGGCACTGTCTTCTGAAGACTTTGATGACCTCTTTGCGACGGTGGCTTTTCTTCTGGAAAATTCTCCTGGATCAGTGTTTATGACAACGTACCACAATAGAAGGTTTTGGCCTCATCTTTCTGTGTTGCTAAATTTTGCATGGAGGTGTGTGTTTTTATAGGACAGCATACTGTAGTAACTGACAATGAATATTTTCATGTACAGTGGTCATCACTTAATTGAGTTTTTGATGGTGAAATGGGGATTGAAATGTTCAAAACTTCTCGATGGCTACTCTTTCATGCCACCATGCAAAGCTTGTTCGCTCCAGGGCAATATTCAGTTAGTTGAGATTACATTGGACAAGCGGTTCTCCGGATGACGATAGGCAGCTGGCAGTCCAGGTGAAGTTTAAGAAATTTTTTTTTCATTTTTGATATCATTGCCTATTTATATCCCATCCATTTTAAGTTATAACAGGTAATTTTTAAGGGGGGAAAAAGCCATTTTCGATATCGTTACCTATTTATATTCCATCCATTTTTAAGTTATAACAAGAATTTTTTAAGGAAAGAAAAGCCATTTTTGATATCTTTGCCTATTTGTATTTGATCCATTTGAAGTTATAACATTTGCCTAAAATTCTGCTTAATTTGTTGGCGTGATCAGAGCAGGTGGGAAACCAATCTCATCCAGCACCATTTGGAGGATGATCAACTTGGTTGAAGATGACCGAACATTGACGTGCTGGGCAAAAGCTCCCCAAGGACCCCATTTTCTCAGGCCAGAATGTTCTATTAACGATATCATCAAGAGAAATCCTCTTCAAAGACTGCTCATGCATGCCCTAAGTTCTTTTCACCACGAAGCATGGAAGATCTAGGCATTCTTGAAGAAAATAAAGTCGAAAAGCTGCTTCGGTATTTATGTGCAGGCTACAATGTGTGTTCTACCTCGAACCAGTGTGTCAGTGCATCTTCCATATTTTTCATTTTTGTCTTTTGTTGCGGTAAATAATGTACGTGTTCTTTTCAATTAGTTGTCTACATCAAGTTAAAAAACAAAGGTCATTGTGTCTGAGATCGATTATTTTTATTATTTGTTTATTTTTATGTTATTATTATTATATGTAATACGGAGTTACCAGTAACACAAATCGTTGTTACTATCACCTGAGATTTTGGAATATGATTGTAGGACATGTGGTACATATATATTGTAACCAGACTCCAACCGAAGCTTATTCTGATCTAAATTAATTTGAGAGCTAATTATAAATTTTTTTTAAATTAATTATCTTTAATATTTGAGTGTTTATATTTTAAAAAATTATATTTTAAAAAATAATTTTGAATATTGATTTATTAGTAAAAACTCTTTACTCAAGCGAGGTGAAAAGTAATAACATGGAATGCGTCTCGTGATGAAAAAATATAATTATGCATATTTCCTAACAAACGTATCCAATATTAAAATTATTTCATAGGTTTTTTCTTATTTTATTATGATAATAAATAATTCGAAATAAAAAGATAAACATCTAAGTCCATATATCGTAAATCGTAGTAGCAAGATGATAATGTTGCTATTGGGATACAAGTGAGTGTTGTGGATGAAGAGAGCGATGGTGAGACGTGAGGGGCACTCTATATTTGTATTGATGTCATTGCAATTGTCAAGTGGCCCTTACCTATCGTTGGTCTGCGTTGATGTCGACGTAGTTGTCAAGCGGTAAAAGGGTCGGCCAACACCGATGCAAATGCAAAGCAACGAAAGGGTTGCTCGGTAATTGTATTGACATTAACGCATATGTAGAATGACCATCACCTCTCATCATCGCTCTTCTCATCTATAACTGTCATCCATAGTCTCCAACGATGTTGTTATTCATCACCCTCAACTAGAATATTAAAACTATCTTTTTACTCTTTATTTTTATGTTTATGTTAGTAAAATAAATAATATTAAAATAAATAAATCTAGATGTTTCATTTTCTAATCATGGGATATTAATATAATTTTTTAAAATAGAGAAATCGATATGTTAAATATAACTAACTAGTACGTAATCTATAATTAGCCCATAATCTGAATACAGACGTGTCAAATAAGGTTGACTTCAATAGGAAGGCTTGCTTTGGAGACAAAATTGAGTTGTGTTACATGTCCCGTTGGATCTAATAGACACAAACATAAACATGCGGAGTAGGATGCTTCTTTTGTTTACTCACATCACTGTTTAGGTAGATTGATTCATACCAATTAGTTTTATGAGATGATGACATCAACTCTTATACACGTAATATTGATTGTATCAGAGGCATCATTCCTACTATGGTGATTAATTGTAGCTAATTATTTTAGTTACTGTTCTTATTCGTTGTCATTCTTTTAACTCTATCTTCTCTGACACTTGCTTTCTTCTTGATTCCAGAGAGATAGAAGGCATCAAGAAAGATATCTATCGGCGAGGAATTAATTGCATTGGCCGCCATCGCGGGTCCCACAATTCCGGAACCCGTGGCCCACAGACATAGGCCACTGCGAAGAGTGTTTTCCGCGTTCGGTGCCTCCGTCAAGACAGGAAATTAGCTCATGAAATCATGTAGATCACGAAAAGCCGCTACAAATACTGCGACCGCTCCTCCCTCCTGCCAACTCCATCCTCTCTCTCTCTCTCGTTCGTTTCACAGCGCGCTCTCGCGATTCTGTCCGCTTGTCGTTCTCGGCCATGGCTTCCGGTGACAACGGGAGGAAGATAGTGAAGCTGCGGAGTTCCGACGGCATTCTGTTCGAGGTGGATGAAGGCGTGGCCCGGCAGTACTCGCAGTCGATCGGAAACCTCATCGAGGACGACTGCGCCACCGGAGTCATCCCCATCTTCAATGTCACCTGCCGCATCCTCCGCATGCTCCTCGAGTACATGGAAAATCACGCGAACGCCACGAACAACGGCGTCTTCGGTGGTCCTGGCCCCGTCCTCGCCCATAGGCTCAAGAAGCGGGACGCCGAGTTCATCAACGTGGACAACGACACCCTCTTCGACCTCCTCGAGGTAAGGGCAGAAACAAGAACAAGAAGAAGAAAGAAAATAAACCCTTCTTCTTCATCGTTCTTTACCAACTTTCTTTAGTGATGATCGATTCTTTTGGTTGTGTTAATGCTTCTACTTCTCATCGTCTTTCTGATGATGATCGCTTGAAAGAAACATTCAGCTAATCTTATCAACTGGCTCAGGTTACAATGACATGGTTCATATCAACAAGCTTCTTAATTTGGTACGTGAAGGATCACGCATGCATCAGCTTAATACCACAATACATGTTACTATCACGTTAATCACCCCACACTGTTTCCCACTACTTGAGTGCTATAATGCCATCATCATTGTGCATTCCATTATGTGCACTTAAAGACCTTTGCTTCTGCTGCTGGTCTATTAACTTTGTTCTTCTTCTGGCATCCTCAGGCAGCGGATTATTTCAACGTAAGCAGTATATTGGAGCTGATCGTTAAAACCATTGCCGGTAAGATGAACGATAACGATGAAGAAATAAAACGAAACAAAGTGCCAGAGTCAAGGGCGAAGGATTAGTTGGGAGTTCGAGAGTCCGAAGGAAGTCCGAAGATTCGTCAAGAATGCTACCGGAACTAGCCGAGAATGAGTATGGAGCTTGTCGAAGGGTTTTCGGAAGCTCGCCAGAAGGTACGTCGGAAGTTCACGAGAAAGATCGTAGCTTGCCGAAGAAGCTCGTCGGAACTCGCTAAGATCAAATCGTGAAGTCTAGGAGCTTGTCGGGAGTCCGCAAAATGGTTTCCGAGAGTTTATTGGAAGACCGCCGGAAGTTCATCGGAAGCTCGCCGAAAGAAGCGCCCGAAGAGATCCGCGACACCTTCGACATTGTTTGTGACAACACACCGGAGGAAGAGGAGGAGGTGCGACGGCAGTACTTCTGGGCGTTTCACTGAAGCTGCTTTGTCACGGATGCAGCAACTTCGTTAGGCTTTTCATGTCCTTTGTAGCTTCTTTGGTAGATCATACAAATGGCTTAATACATCTGAGTGTTGACCGGACGCTGCTACAAGCAGACTTACGATTCCAAATGTCATACTGTGATCAGGACATTTTAAGACTAATCACCTAAAGAGTAATGCAAGTGTGACCTCGAGCTTCTCGCTTTGGCTTCTCTCCGAGGGGCCACAGTCGTAACTCAATGTATTAAATGTTAAAAATATTAAAAAATCTATTTCATACTTTATCCTTTTGATCATCAGATAGTTTCATTTAATTTTTTATTTATTATTATTTTACATTTGTTAGATGGAATAGTGAAGAGTTTATTGAAACTAAGTGATAAGTCTATGATATTTACATACAAAAGGGATATATTAGAAATATTAAAAGTTCTTAAAGGAGATTCCAAAGATTATCATTAGTAATCTCTTTATATTATTTACAACTTAATTTTAAAATTTTTAATATTTCTAAGTTATTGTTTTATAAATATGCGTAAATATCATCTTCTTTTTCTACTCTTTATCTTCTACTTTCCTTCTTTCTCTTCCTCCTAAGACAATAGAGGTAGCAAATTATGTTGCCTTTTAACTATACTTAAGATGAGCATCAAGAGATCGGACAGATGATAAGGTATACTTCGAGTCCGGACTACGTCACAATCGATGTCATGTCACGCCACAGCCAAGTCAGGAAGAGAAGCACTCCCACACGTTGAACCAACAACCGTATCAAGACACCTCTCGATATGTCCCGTCACAATAAGCCTGGAACGACGACCGTAGAAAGATATCATCTCATCCCTCGAGGATCGATCGTCATGCCAAACTCACGTACGATCGTCCTGGTAAGCCCATGGACGGTATCCAACCAGAAGAAAAAAAAAGGAGACAGAAAGCAGTACCCCACATTGACTTACTTATCGAGGGGCCACAGTCGGTTACCACTCGACGGGGCCTTCTGTGCAAGAAAGTGACAACGTCCGAGGCGAGGCCATCTCAATCGATAGAGGTGTCCTTCCTCCCGACGTACTAATCAGCATCCCGACGAAGAGACGTTAATTAATATTGCGGCACCAACACATCGATTGGAGGGCTCGATCGACTCTGACATCCAGCTTAGCTGACCGAAGACTCCCAGCATCGTCTCGTGGACTAAGTCGTGTTGACTCATCAACCATGATGCATCAATTCATCGCATCGATAAATAAAGAGACATTAAAGGAGGAAACGAACAATATCCACAACAAGCAAAGTCAATGACGATAACATTGATAGGGAGCATCGTTGTCGGCGAGGATGAAATAAGGTGTTTGTGGAGGGAAAAAATAATAATAAAAGAGTCATAGATAATAAATTATTATTTTATTAATTTTTATGGGTTATCAACGTTAAGGAGATTATCAATAATAAAAAGGGGTTGTGAATAGTAAACTTCGATATTTCTATTCACAATCACTTTTTTGTTATTTACTATCTCATTTTAAAAACTTTTAATAATATCCCTCCATAAATGAATATATATATATATATATATATATATATATATATATATATATATATATAATCTTCAATCATATTTTAAAAATATTTAATATTCCTAAGATACAGCTTTACAAGTGGAATAAATGACTTCGTAAGACAATTAAGATTCGGGTCGTAAAAATAAGGATATAATTAGTAATTAAAGGGCTTTCTACTTTCTAATATAACTATAAGATTCGGACGATTAAAACAAGACGCTATGGAAATAAAAAATATGATTAGTAATTGAGAGTATAAAAGTAATAAAATTATATTATTATTATTATTTATACAAGATTATCGATAGTATGAAGTTGCCAATAACCAATTTCTCTCACTAGTAAAAAAATTATTATTGGTGTTACGCACAAATATCACCATGAGCCTTGCTCTACGAACTTTTTAGCCCTGGGGCCTACAACAGACCGTTTCACTCGTTACGTACGACTCCGGTGTCATTTGGGTAGCTCCAAGAAAGGCTGCCAGGAGACTCGGCTTGACGCCCCAAAACCAATTCATATTCTTAGAAGATACCCTCATCCTACCGTCGCTTAAGTGGATTACATGGGCCCCACTTGCTTCTCCCGCCACGTCACAATGAAGCTCCCCATTTTTTTATCGCGACGATACCCCATAAAAGGTTTCTTCTCCCTTACGCGCGCACTCCCAGTGCTGACTTCCTCTACCTCTCGGCGACGCTCGCGTCTCCATTGGTCTGGCTCCCCTCACGGCGAAACCCTAGCTCTTGAGGTCGGTTGACCACGTCCTCCCTCCATGTCCGATCTCGTTCTCGCATTCTCTCTCGCTGTTTCTTTTTCGATGCCTCGTTGTCGTCGTTAGCTTGGTTGTTTGCATTGGCGTGGAAAATCATGCGTTTCGATTCCTCGCTTAGGGTTCTTAATCGGCCGGATTAAGTTTCTGTTGCGCCCCCTCCGCCGTTCTGATTGAGACTTCATGATCGAATCGAGTGAGGGCTTCGCGTGCTTGGGTTAATTTTTGTCGTTGGATTTGAAGTTTTTTCACGTCGCTGCTTGATTTGATGGGACAACTGTTCTTATACCCACAGGCCACGACGTGATTTGCGCTTGACATGGACCAGGTGAGCAAGCACTGACCGGCTTACTGTTTTCTGCATTCTTATTCTCGGTAAGCGAAGGTTTTTGGGTGGTAATGCGGTGCCAATATTGATCTCAGTATGAAAAGGTGGAGAAGATCGGCGAAGGGACATATGGAGTGGTGTACAAGGCTCGGGACCGTCTAACTAATGAGATGATTGCCCTCAAGAAGATTCGGCTTGAGCGGGAAGATTTGGGGGTCCCCGGCACCGCCATCCGAGAGGTCTCACTTTTGAAGGAGATGAAGCATGACAACATAGTCAGGTTATGCTCGCCAAAGTGCGAAAATCTTGACTTCTGTCGGTCTGTGTAGCAGACACATCTTCGATTGATCTCTTCATAGATTTAGTATCATGTTTCTTCATTGAATTTAGGAATTTAGTTAATCTAAATATAGTTACTGAGGATAAATCACTATAGTCAGGTTATGCTCTCCTAATTGAGACAGCAGATGCATCATTGATTGATCTCTTTGTAGATCTAGTATCACGTCTCTTCATTGAATTCACATTTAAGTATTTAGTTAATCTGAATATAGGTAGTGAGATCAAATCATCCTTAGCCAGGTTACGCTGACCAAATTGAGAAAATTCTTAACTTCTGCTGGTCTTATTGAATGAGATATGATTGTTACAAGACTCGAGAAAATGTAATTCTTAGCTTCACAATATATTTTAATCATAAGACTCAATTGATGTCATTGTATGAGATTATGCCAAAACTCAAAACTGGTCACGGGAGTTGCTTAATGAAAGTCTTTCTTGGAATTACCCTTGTTTGTGGCATGTTCATCATGAAATTCGTGCTATAAATTATTGTAATACTTATTCTTCATTGGTGCCAAATCTTGTTAAATATCTGCTTTCTGTTATTGGCAGTGCATAGTGGGAAATATTCCTTAGTGGTTTAGCCATATCATTGCTTTGTCACTTTTGGCAATGCATTACAATTTTACTGGGTGATCCAAGTTTGCAAATTAATTGTGCTGAATTCCAAGGATTCAGAATGTGAAGTTTATGATATTGATATTTTCCTAGAATTTTCTCGTGTCCACAATCTTTGATATGATTTAGTGAAATATTTATTTGAAAAACCCAAGAAAATTAGAGTATCATGAACTTGCAGTGCAAATCATGTGACATAAGTAGCCCATTTGCAACCTCTCTTTTATCCCAACCCAACATAAAACTATATGCAATGGCTCCATGGCAACAATGAACACGCTGCATGTATCCTAGATTCTTGACCATGCATGGTAGAAATCAGCCCAATTGACAAGTCAACTTGAATGGACTCAGTCAAATTTGTAAACAAGATATAACAAATGTCTATGTAGGTGTCGAAGTCATTCTTGGGGCTGATTTGGGTAACTGTCCCTTTCTTCCCTTTCTTCTCTCCACCAATGTTAGCTGAGCAATAAAAGCACATCCAACTTAGGGAATAGGTTTGTTTGGGTCCTTGGCATGGTCAGCCAAGCCTCCTCCTTGATCAGCTTTGTCAAGGTCATAAATCCTCTCATGATGGTGACAGTGATCCAATGATCATGAATGAATGCGTCATGACATACCCAACTCGCATGTTATCCTATGTAGGCAATGCTGCAAAATCTTAGGAGAAGTGGCACTTGCACTAGAGTTAGTCATTGCTGAAGAAGAAGACAGTGAACAAGAGCAACAATGTGGTGTCCTATGACTATGGTGACCACCCACAAGATGAACTGCGAATTAGAGGTGCACATCTTCCACAACCAAATCTGTTGCAATGGCCAGCTTTGCACCCTATTGATAGACTCTAGTGGCTGCACCAGTGTCTTCTCTGAAGATGTGTAAATTGAAGTTAGAGATTAAGCCACACTGAATCAAACAAGGTTGCATGGGCGATGAATGAACAACACTGATCTCAGGCGCATGAAAGGTGCTTGGTCACCAATTCAATTGAAGGTTTAGTGAATCAGGTGCAACATGATGTTATCAGAAGATTATGGCTTTATGATAGTGTGGTGGTGGCATCTTAGTGCCATACCTTGATTAGGCATGAGTATTCCCAAACTTAGTGACAAGATACCATATAATGAAAGCAATCAATGGCAGGCATAATAGCAAGAAGACTTGAGCAGATTTGCGATAAACTTTGGTACCGGATTAATTCAGATAAGAGCTAAGATTTGGGAGTAACAGATTTTGACTTATAGTTGAGTCGGAATTGGTTAGCATTTTTTTAAGGATTTTTGGTGAATTTATGTCTTAACTTTGATTTGTAATACATATATCATCCCACATTAGGCATACTTGGAACTTTCTCTTTGTTCTGATTGCTGAGTACTGAAGAAATCTTGCAAACTTTTGTATTAGATAAGTGACTCATGTAGAAAATTTAATGTTATAGTTATTTAAAAAAAAGAAAACTTTTTTCCTGCCTTGCCTATTTTTTTTTTCCTGTAATTCATATGTTCTCTTTTCTTTATTCATCACCTTTACAAGATATTTATAACTATAAACCAACAAGATTAGGAAAAAAATTGTTTCACCATTGATAATCCTTGTCCACTAAGATTTACCATTTGTCTTCTTTTTGTAAATACTGGCAACAAAAGTAGTAACTTATCACAAGGTCTAAGCTTTTGGATCTTGAAACTTGTGGCAGACACAAATGAAATAGAAACTCACTGAAAGCTCTTCTCTGAGATCATATTCTGTGGCTGCTAAAACATAAACATCTTTCCTCGTACAAGCCTGCAGAACAAATAAATTAAATATTCGTCAGCAAATCTATATAGTTGCAGTTGAAGACAAAGAAGCATGCTGTCCCATAGAGTTTGCAATCTTTTCTCACATTTGGGTATTCCTCAGCTTGATCAGAGCACCTCTTCACACTTTTCGTGCATCATATGGTTTTATTGTATGTTCAGACAGTTCTCTATAACACCAATTCACTTAGTTATTAGTTTCTTGGAAATCTTCTTCTCCACCTCAAGTTGGAGTCCTGTATGATCATATATTATCATCTCAATCATTTTAGCTGTTAAGAAAACCCAACTAATGATGTGATTGTGATTTCAATTGTGCTAGTTTAACAATGTTAAGTTGAAGAATGCTTTAGATTATATCTGGTGCACAAAATTATTAATGTGGACATCTAAAATTCATGAAACAGATATTAATCTCTAATTCTCTAATTTTAAGTGACTGCATAGTTTTAAAACAGCAATAATATTTGAAGATGTGAAATTAGAAGTTACTGCTCTGGTCGTTGCAGCATCAGTAGATATGATAGTGAATTGTTGGATGAACCTTATCTGTATGAAACTAACCTGTTCATACTCTATTTTGAGCTGCTTCAGCAAGTAACTTTACAATCTTTACTTCTGGATTTGTTATATTAGACACTCTTTACCTGGAGATCAATATATGAGGCAAGATTTCTTGTTTAAAATTCAATGCCAAATTCTTTCTGGAGCAAGATATTTTGAAGGTATACTAGGAATCTTGATGTATTTTTTGACATTTAAGCTTTGACTGGAGTGATTATCCTACTTCTAGTGTCTACATTTGTCATCATTTAAAATGATCAAATATTAGTTTTATGAACTATGTGAGTATATTAAGTGTGGGCCCTATGCACACTCCAAGAAATATCTTAGTGAATTTTTAAACTGTCCCTTCTGTTTCTTCCATCCTAGGCTTTCTCAATTGAAATTATATAGAACATCATATTGATACATCTATAGGTCCGTCAGAATTGTGTTTCTACCCTAAAAACGGTCTCTTTGAACAATATCATGTGTTCATGTCACAGCAGTTCAATATGTCTGATGGTGGGCCATGTTACTTCTGGCAATAACAATTAACAATAATATAAATCAGTATGTGAAAATAATAGCTGAACTTCCAATAAGACACTAATATATTAAATATTGGTCTCACCATATACACATTGTTCATGATCCATAAAAGAACTCGACCATGTCATAGTGTTAGGCCTGTGTTATTTCATCTTTCATTCTGGACTGAATGTATATCAGTGATGGCATGAATTCTTGTATTATCCTTTATATGCAACAAAAAACTATTCTTTCTGGGTTATTATTCTGTGACATTACAAGACCATATGAGAATTTAGCTGCTTTCTGATAGCAGGTTGCATGACGTAGTGCACAGTGAGAAAAGTATATACCTTGTTTTTGAGTATATGGACATGGACTTGAAGAAGCACATGGATTCCCATCCAGAATTTTTTAAAGATACATGTTTAATAAAAGTGAGGTCCTTACTCCCTTAATATTCATTTGCAAACTGAGAATAATTCACATGTCTGAGGCTTGCACTAGACAAAAATTCATTGATCTCCATGGGCTGTCATCTAATGCACATTATGTATTTTACATGGTTAAGTATTGTTCATTATTTTATATGAATCATCCTTGAATCACTTATATCTTTTACATTCCACTCTGCTCATAATGCAGATGTGAGAATGAGGCACCATTTACTTTTATTAATCAAGCATAACATCTCTTATAATTTTTGTACACATAGGTATTTGTAAAGACATATTTCTCACTTTTGAATTTTGTTCAGCATTTATCTACCTTATTTTAGAGATCCTGTTTATAGTTTCACTTATTGTCTAGTTTTGTGGCTTCAAGATTGACATTATTTCACCCTTAGCAAACTGTGACCAGGGTTTAAGTTATAGAAAGGGCCTTCCTTTTTAAAACATAAGGTTGATCCTCCACAGATACTGCATTAATGAGACCCTAGTTCATTGGGCTGTCTTTTTTTAATGGGTCTGATTTGCTTTATGTTCAAGAAATTTCTTTCAATTATTTATCTTCAAGATAATGTGTTCAGTTTTATTCATTGACTAATTTAGTACATTCAAGGCTGATATAATGTCTTACGATTCTTTGTTATCTTCCCTATTCATTTGTATTTCTTTGCACTTAGGCTCCTTAGGTTGCAAACCTCTACACCTCAAGTAGCATGTCATTATCTGTCTAATTGTCTTGGCTCAGAAATTATTGCCAAGTAACATCATGTATCACCGGCTGACCTTCAAAAATATCTACATGTTAATCTTCATGTCTTATAAGCTAAATGAGCATTGCCTATCTTGTCTCAAATAGGCTTGAATAATGTCGATAACTTGGAAAATAATTTGTGATCTAAATTATAACTGTTAATCAAATAACTAAGAGGGCAGCTTTAAGATATATCATTCATATTTTGGTTGTTTTATGAGTAGATGTGTTTGATCGAGTACCTAAAAGAAACTTATGTTGTAGCTGTTTCTATATAGAATCTTCAAGGCTGACAAGTGCTGCTTTTCTTTTTGCAGTCATTTCTCTGCCAAATTTTACGTGGTATTGCATACTGCCATTCTCATAGAGTTCTTCACCGTGATTTGAAACCTCAGAACCTACTGATTGAGAAGCGTACTAATACCCTAAAGCTTGCAGACTTTGGGCTAGCAAGGGCATTTGGTATTCCTATCCGAACATTTACACAGGAGGTAGCTTATCTATGTGATAATGTTTCTTTGCTGCAAATTTATGTTCATTAAGATTTTGAGTCTAGACAATACAAAATGCTTTGGTAGCTCAAGTGAAAGTATGGTTAAAACTATGGTATAGATAAGATCTTTCGAAATCATGAGGTTGGAAAATAAGAGTTCAATCACAGGACATTCTTGTTCATTGTAAGAAAAGGTTGATTGCATATACTTTTCTTTTGCTTAAATTGGTAAGCCACCTTTAGATGATTAATTTGCATCTATAATCTTCATTCTTAAATAATGACTCTGCCTATCATTCTATTGATTCATTTGGAGCTGCCGTTAAATTTACATATTTTTAATTTCAGGTTGTGACCTTGTGGTATAGGGCACCAGAAATTCTCCTTGGGTGTCACCAGTACTCTACCCCTATTGATGTGTGGTCAGTAGGTTGTATTTTTGCAGAAATGGTGAACCAAAAACCACTGTTCCCTGGAGAGTCCGAGATTGATCAATTGCGTACAATTTTCAGGTTTGCATGTTATTGTTACTAAGGTCTCAAGATGGCTTTCCTTTCTGCTATTAAAGTACCAATGTCATCCTTCAATTTTACTTTACCTTGCATTTCTGAAGAGTTTTAGGAACTCCAAATGAAGAAACTTGGCCAGGAGTTACTTCATTCCCTGACTTCAAATCTTCTTTTACCATATGGCGTCGTCGGGTATGGAAACTAGAAACTTTCTCTGAACCCTCATGTTTGAGATTGCAAAATTAATAAATGCATGATGCCTCAGAAAATAAACTAAAGACTTGCATCACATCTGCTTTTTTGTATGATCTGAGGCATTCTGTACTTATTTGTGTTGTGCCTTTATGTGTACAAATTAATGAAATATCATGAAACTAAAATGACCATAATAACTTACAAGGACCTAATGGAATATTTCCTGTTCATGAAACTACAATGACCATAATGACTTATAAGGACCTAATGGAATAAATCCTGTTCAGGATCTGGCAACAGTGGTGCCTACGCTTGAACCAGCAGGAATTGATCTTCTCTCGGTAGGTATTGCTAAGCTTTTTCGTATTGCAACATTTTCTTGGCAACTTCCACTTTTCTTGGATACTACTTATAAATTAGTATTAAAGAAAACAATATGCCCTCGGAATGTTAGCTCTGTCAGTGCACATATTTACTGCACACTAACACGACTATTAACATAGCAGTTGTCTCGAGTCCTTGGGCTATACACATACACCACAGTTTTGATATATCATAGTGGTAGGGTAAGAACCTTGAGCTTGTTATATTACAAAAATATTAGCAACTCTATGCCTTCATGTCAACCAGATCGAGCATTTATCTTCTAAGAAATGGTTGATGTTGATGTTGCTGTCTTTACTGCCCACTGATAAATGCCATCATCACAAATGAGAATGTCGGTCATCTGACAGAAGTCAGAGACCTATGCCTGTCGAAATATACACTTCAGATTTTTCTCTTTCCTGTTCACTGGATGTCTGGTCCATTTGTTATGTATACTTCTTCTATGCTAATTCTCTATTGATGCACAGAAAATGCTCTGCTGGGAACCAGGCAAAAGAATCCATGCTCGTGAGGCTCTTCAACACGAGTATCTAAAGGATCTTGGAGCAGTCCCATGACCGGAATTTTCAGCCTATCGTGTATGACCTTCAGAAGCCGAAACCATGAGGTCCAAACTCTCCGCTCTTAATGTGTGAAATGTTGTTTGCTTTGTACAGGGATCGTAGTCTTCATAGAATATGTTTGGATCCGAAGCACAATTTTAACTCGGAGTTTGTGCTTGATTCTCTCGAAACACCAACTCTCAAACAGTTTTCAGTTTTCACCAATGTATTGGCCACTGTATCTGATTCGATCTTGCGGGTGGCCAAGCATCCGGTAGTACTGCAAATTATAGAAAATGATGGAAGGCTAGAATACCAATTGAATAGAGTGGAAAAGAAATAACGAAAAAAAAGAGAGTAAGCTATCAATTTTCCACAGTTGACTCTTAAATAAGAATTTTAGACTACTAGGAGTTTCTAAGCTGCCTGTAATTAGTTAATTAGATGGGTTGATTTGGTAATCATAAGAATAGTTCGATTGAGGCTTTATTGTAGTCCAACTGCTATCGATCTAGTGGTATGCGTAATTATGCCCATAACGAATACTCTTTCTATTACAAATACGTTATTTGAGGAGAAACCGAAGAAATGAGAACCCCATCAGAAATTTTATGTGCTGACAATAAGAACTAAAAAAAAAAAACATTTTAGATATGATAAAGGGTCGAGATATAGGTCTCGGGCCCTCCTTTTACCGTGTGGGTAGACTCACAAGATATGATTTTTTGTGAGCCTACTGGTCGCATCAATAGTTGGTTGACCAAATAGTTTCTTATCAGATTGGCTTTAGAAGAAGGGCATGAGACCTATAACTCGATCGAGCAAACTCGCTTTCGAGTCATGTACCTTAGTTACGAGCCATTGGCTCCCCTACGGGAGGGAGCATTAATAAGATCATTTAGTTTCATATTGGTTGAAGAGTATGAGAACCGGCTCATAAATTCGTCAGGTTTCCCTTACCCTCAGAGGAATTTTTTAGAGTTTACATGTTTTCAAAGGACAAAACCATACAAGTACGCTTATCGTCCAAAACGGACAATTTCTTGTGAGTCTACGGACTGCACCAACGGTCGATCGATCAAATGATCCCTTATCAAAATATAAAATAAAGAAAAAAAATAGAAAAAGAAGGTAAAGAACAATTAAGGGTTTTACTAAATAATTCTATTGTCAAAGTTATTAAAGAAACAAAAGTCCCTCAAGATCTTCAATTAAGTAGGGGACAGAAAACTTACATGGAAATAATAAATAGTAAAAAGATAGAATTGGGTCTCATAATTTTTATTTTTTATTTTTATTTTTTTGTTCCTTATAGTCACTGCCAATCTGAATGCCACGTAAACCACCTCTTACAACCGATGTGATATTAGTTTTTATTTTTCTTTTGCTTAATATTATTTTTAAAAACAGCAGCCCTATAAGTGACCTCCGGATAATAATCTAAAGCCAATCTCATCAATCTACTTTAACCCGCATCCTTGATAGTCCTCGCTTTTCGTCTTCCGGTTACACCTACATCAAACGGCAGGGAGAAGCGTCGAATCTGTAGGCACACAGAGGGTGGGGCAGAAAAAGTGAAGGGGTTGGCCGTGGCGGCGATGGCGGCCGAGGTGGAGGTGCTGGAGGGGACGGTGCTGAACATCTTGGAACAGGAGACGTTGAAGTGGGTGTTCGTGGGCGGGAAGGGCGGCGTGGGGAAGACGACCTGCAGCTCCATCCTCTCCATCCTCCTCGCGCAGGTCCGCCAGTCCGTCCTCGTCATCTCCACCGACCCCGCCCACAACCTCAGCGACGCCTTCCAGCAGCGCTTCACCAAGATCCCCACCCTTGTCCACGGCTTCTCCAACCTCTACGCCATGGTATTACCTACTAACCCTTTCTCTGGCGCCGCTTTCCGTCGACTCGTCCATGCGATCCGATCCAGTTTTCATTCTCGTTCCACGTTCCTTCTTGTTCTTCTGTTCTGGCGATCGTTGATTCCTTGACCCATTCTTGTCTGTCGGCTGCAGGAGGTGGATCCGAAGATGGAGGAGGACAATTTATCTGACGAGGGGCTCGAGGGGTTTCTATCGGAGCTGACAAATGCGATCCCTGGAGTTGATGAGGCCATGAGCTTTGCTGAAATGCTAAAGTAAGTTTTCTCTTGTTCCACTTGTGTTCTCTTTACAGGGCGCATATAGAAAAAGCAACTGTATATGTGCAATCGTGTAAATATTGGGCCGGGCGTTCTCGTGCTGATGATTTAACTGATATTTGTGTTCGCTTTGATTGCTACATCAGATAGCAATAGGTTTTTATTCTTCACTACGTATATTACCAGCATGGAGGGTTACCGAGTCCAAGTGCAATGCTTATCAGGCATAAATATGAAAAAGAGTGATCAATTTTAGGCTTTCTATTATGATTTTGTTTCAGACCCTTGGTTGCTTATGACTGAAACGTTTACCCATTGTGGCACAATTTAATAACAAATTCTCAGTGTTCAAAAGTGAATGAATTATATGTTAAACTAGTTAAATGCAATGCAATTAGTCTTTTATGTTTAACTTCTGCTATTGGTTCAACATTTTGAAGCTTTACTTGTTGCCTTAGCGAGCAGTGTGAACAACCAAATATGATGCCAGTGAACAATTTATACATGTAATGTAGCATGTAAAGGAAATCATTCTCATTTCATTAAACATGCTTTGTGTCTGGCTCTGATAATACGAGAACAAATTATTTCATCAGCATAGGGATATAAGGAAACGTGAGACTTCATTCATTGTTAACATGTTCGAATAACTTCTAGGAGAAAAACTGCATTTTACGTATTAATCTTTTTTAACTGTTTTTTTGTTCTCACTTTAGAACCAATTAATTCTATACGATGGTTGATAAGACCACATGTTCATTCACCAAAAAGGTTTTGAAACTATAATCTTTAGTTTCTTCTAAATATTTGATTAATTTAAATTTTTTTCAGATTAACACTAAGTATATAAAATGTAATTTTAGTTATATTAAAAGAACAATTGTGGGTTTAGTTAAGATGTATGAACAACATGATCCTATAAGTAAAAGTTTTAATTATTTTAGGTTTATTATTTGAGAGGTAGGGGGGATTGATAAATACATCATTTATAGAGTGAAAAAACTGGATAACTATAGTTGAGAGAGGTATCAATAGTTTTATGTAATCTCATGTGCCCTTTAATTAAAAGAATATGACAAGTGTATGGTCAACCATGATTTATGGTATGTTAGTCAATTAAAAAAAATCATATACAAAAAGTCATTTTAGTTGAAACTGACTATGTAAGATTACTAGAAAAGTTAGAATTAGAAATTGTTTTATCCATGAACGATTAGGTGTAGCTCAATAGAGGATGAAATATGGGAATACTAAAATGGTATAGACATGTTCAATTGAGACATATGAAACGTGCTATAATTAGAAGAGATGACTTGATTAGGATTAGTAGTTTGAAGAGAGGTCCTGAGAAAACTTTATTAGAAATATTTTATAAGAGATTTTTTAATGCTCTTGAGTCTTGATATAACTGAAAATATCACCTCTACAGACTTTGATGATGAGAAAAGATCAAATGTGGCCAGACCCAATAGTTTGGACACTTTGACTTGTTCTAGTCTTTGTTGATGCTTGAGCTGCTTTGTAAATGACTATTAATGTTCTATAGGCAATTTGAGACAATTATCAGTTGGAGTTTACCCTCAGGACAGGTTAGAGTCACCCTATGTCTAGAATCTATGTCAAACGTTGCTAATTTTTTATTGTTCTCTAGGATTTCCAGAATAAATATTGTTCTCTGTTATATGGGTTCAAGCAAGGGTCTTATCCAAAACTGCAGGCTACTTGCTGTGTTGAATATTCTTCAAGAAAGTTCATTGCCTTTACAGTAATCACAATAAGGTTATTACTCTTGGATTTGGATTTATAACTGTTCTCAGTTTGATGGGTATTCTACAGAATAAGAACCTGCTCTCCTATATGGTAACATCAATTCTTGTCATAACATTAAGTGCAAATAGAAAGTTCATACTGTAATTTCAGTAGAACATACTGTTATGATGTGAACCAACCTTGGACCACTTCATATTAGTTATTTATAATGAATTACTCCGATAATTTCTCTTATGCAGTTCTCATCTTTTATATATTGGTTCTATTTTTTATTTTGAGAAGTTATGTATCCTAAGATATATGAAGATAAAAGAATCTTTAACATGTGATATTGTTTTATTTATTTATTTTTTGTCAATCTAATTTGACTGATCTGTTGAACCTGATTGTATCGTTTCTCTATCGTCACCATGCCAATGCCAATCTTGTGAACTATGCTTTAGATCGACTATTTGTCCGTAATGATTGGTGATAATCAAGTGAAGCAACTGGAGGATTTTTTTGCAGCAAATGCCTGGTCTCCTTGGAGATTGAAAGAGTCATCTACATCTTGGTTGGTGGACGAGAAATTGGATATACATTTGTTGGAAATTGGGTGACAACTATTATTTAGCAATGAAAAAGCCAAGAAACTTTCTAGATATGCACTGTAAAAGATGCACATCATGATGACTTCCAACATGTGAAGTGAAAAGAAAGATGAGGAAGCTGAGAAAGTGATTTGGGAGTGTCGATTGTTACAAGGATCTTGTAAAACGATTTCAATGCTCCATTTTTGGGACAAGGTGGATTTAGGACAGGAGAATTGTTACAACGTGTCTCACCCAGGGCCTAACTGTCCTTAAGTCAGTTATTTCTACCATCGTTGACATATATGGGATAGAACAACGTGGGGCAGCCTATTACAGCACGTTTCATTCTAAACGCACACTGTTTCAGCAGATTCCAGCTTATGGGGGCCCAGTTCAGTTAATATCCATCCCAATTCAGCCATATGCTTCAATGTAGTTCAGTTCAAGACAATTTGGAGAAGACTCAGATGAACTCAGGGAAAGGCATGCATGCTATACCACTCAAGAGGATAACAAGAGATGAATTTCAACTGTTGTAATTCTTATTTGGCCAGTTAACCATGGTACCAAACCAGTCATGACTTGTATCATGTTGGTTTTGGCTCTTGGCACTTTGAAGGACTGTACCAAGCTATCCTAGGTTGAACCATGTTGAAAACAACCGATATTTGGGCTTTTTCAGAATCAAGAATGTTAATGTAGGGCCAAATAGGCATTGGCTATGCTGATGCAGACGAGATAGAGT